CTTATTCCTTCGATCCTTACCTGAAAAATAAGTCTAAGAATGCCGTGTGAAAATTTCAAGCCGATCGGTTCTGCCGTTTCAGAAAAATTTTCCTCACCGACTCTGAAAACAGCGTTTCGAGAAAAACGCGTTTAAAGTTTTGGCAGCCCATTACACTGAGTTAAAAAATTCTCACAAATAAGCCCATATCTCCAAAACTGTTTGTCGGATTAACTTGAAATTTTCGGAGCATATTCTCAAATAAATGTAAATTTTTTTGAAAATTTCAAGTGGATATAACCTCCTAAACATATTTGTTGTTTTCTGGCGTTGGCGCATACATTGTTGAACCCATTGGGGGCATCGAAAGTAAACAGCCATTCACCCGTCCCATTGTCAGTGTCATTGCCAGACACGTTCATTTACTATTCATTGCGATCGTAAACACGCCAATAAATGTTACACACACACACACGCACATAATCATACGCATGTGTAAACGCAGTTGCACGACTGATCTATGTTTTTACCACTTACATTATTTGTGGGGCATTACAATCACTTGAACTTCAAATAATTATGCTGCTCAAGTTGCATTTGGTGAGTCGTAAACATCGACGACATGGAGGCAACAAAAAACTGCCTTCGATTTGAAGATTTAATGAGAATGCGTATTTGATTGTGTTCAATAATGCAATTCGCAATGTGGCATTAACAAGTTCAAGCAGAAAATCATTGGGATTGTTTGCGCTTTTATTTTGTTGCTCATATTACTCATACGGCCTGGTGGCTAGTTTCTGTTAAGTGTGCACTATAACCAAACAGCAGTTTTATTTAAATAAAAAGTTGTTTTTATCGCAAAAGTTACTTTGAAGTTTTATAATCAATTTCTAGAACAATCCCAATAGAAGAATTTGCAGTAAGTGTACATATGTGTGTACTTATACTAATTGGGTACTACGTGTGGTATGAGTAACATGGGTTTACTTTTAACATTTTCTGTGAATAAATTGGACTTTAACCAGCAATTTGTGAGAATTAAAATAAAAGTAAACTGTCATATCTGCCGTGTACATTAATACACATTAATATGTATAAGATCTGCAGGCTGCGAATTAAATGAAACAATGGATTAAAACTTTTCCAAAATTGGTCAAACTTTAATTTTAATAAAATGTTTGGATTCGAAATTAAAACTTAATTGTTAAAATTTAATTTTTCAATTTAATAAAAATTTAATTTCGAACTACATAAATGCACTAAAAATGTAAAATTTAATCTTTAGTCAAAAATCGAATCTAAAATTAATAAAATATAATAGTTTGAATATGTAAGTTTTATGTTCAACTGCTCTAGAGTGGAAGATGTCTGTGTGCGAGCTCTAGTTCAAAATAGTAGAACGCAAATGTGAAAAGTTCATTCAGTAGCATTTTATTTTTGCTATGCACTTAAGTTTTTATTCATCAATCCGATATTGAGATAAGAAAATTTGAAAAATTTTTATAAATAAAAATTTAAACAAAAATGATAATTCAATTTTATATTTTTAAAAGCATTACTTGCAATTCTGCGTGTAAGAAAGTGCTCGAAAAGGGCCTCGACAACAAAACAAATCATACGTTGGCGCTTCAGTTTATTTCAATTTGGTATTTAAGTTATCCATGCATATGCATATATATAATATATTTCATAGCACATTGAGCTAACGCCACTATTGATTTCATAATAATATATAGGAAAATAATTTAAAAGTATTTAGTATGAGAAGCTTGTAATCAAGTGTCTGCAAGCAACCACAATAACCAGTTGGCCGTCTATTTGAATACTATTTCCTAATGCCTACATGGTAATAAAAAATATTAAATAGTTAAAAACATATATATAATTCTTTTTCTAAATTTTCAAAAATATTTTCTAGATTAATAAATCATATACAATAATATAAATTTTCACAAAAATTTCTAGAAAGAGTCCGGACACAAAACTCATAAAAATTGTTGTTTTCATAATACAAAGTGATTGTAAATGACTAAATGTATGTATGTTATATAGAGTGCTGAATGCGACAAGCCACAGTGGACAAAAACTTGAGACATAAAAAAAAGTTTCACTTCAATAAGCCAATGTAAAAAATGTAGTTTGTTTTTAGGATTTGTAATAGGATTTCAAAGAATTCTAAATAACTCTTATTTTAAATATTATTTAAATTTGTTTATTTGTATTGTCATGTTATATATATTTATTAGCGTCTGTGAGCAAATAATTTTCGCAATATAAATTTAAATTCAACCCACGTGCAGCATAATTGTTTTAAGATTTCATATAAAATTGAAACAGGAAAATTACTTTGGACACTCCTTTCAGTTATAAACAATGTAAAGTTTAAAGTTTACTTTCAAAACTACAAGGAAATTAATTTATTGCAATGCTGCCAGACTTACAGACCAAATGGTAATAATTCATTAACTATTATAAATATTAATTACTGTACTTTGCTAAAATAAATTATCAACTAGTCACATGACGCTAAATGACAGTTTTAAACCATGAAATTAGGAAACTCAACAGCTGCTTCTAAAATAGGTTGGGTAAACGTAGACAACTTTCACTTTCAACGCATTTCCGTTACGCAAAAACACAAGTGTAAACATGTTATATAAATATATATATGTAGGCGTATAAATGAATTCAGTATTTCAGGGTGTCAATATTCTAACATTAAATTTGTTGTTTGTCAATGAAAGCTTTTTAATTTCCGAAACTTAAGCGATTGTGAAAGGAGAATGAGACAAGTATTCATTATTGGCGTTAAATGTCAATGAGTACTAATTTATTAAATGAGAATGTCAAATGTTTTATGCAAATTGCGTGCTTATAAGTTACATAATTCACAACACAAGTAGCCAATTGAAAATTGAAAGTGTTGATTTGTTCTGTTGAAAGTTACTAGGCCAAGCTGCTTAACCAATTTATGGGGCCCTACATACGTGAACAGATCGTTCGAATAAAAACAAAGCATTCGAATGAATTTTTATGTGAGAAACCCTTTAAGAAAATTTAAGACTCTAAACATCTGTTTCCATAAATTCTACTGAATTATAACGAGATTCGAACCATCGACATTTTCCCTGGTAGTGGCGCAATCATTATACAATTCCAGAACAGTCGCCGGTATTGGTTTTGTTTACGATTTCTTGCATTTTTAACTTATTCAAATGTATTTCCATGAAATAGTTAGTAGGTAAATGTAGTTCCGATAAGGAAACTGATGTAATTGTAGCGAATATGACATCAAGTAAATGGACAGCCATTAGCATCTATTTGAACCACATACTCGTAAATGGCTCCTATCAGATGCCGAAGTGGGCGCGCCAAATTATTCTCCAACCAACAGTTATGTTAATTGTTTTTACCTGCATATTGTTGTTGCGGATATTTTATGTTCCTTGCGGTTCCATTTGCCCATAATTGACATTTTAATTTACAACAATAATCGATAATTTTCCTACACAACTCTCAATTAAATCAATGAGCTAAAATTTGCATAAATTGTTTGACATGTGTCCATATTAATTACCATATGCAAACACACAGGTTCGCATACACTTATAACGGCGTATACATACGTCACAATATTATGTGACAATAGTTTTTGACCTCTGAGGCGTGGGCGTGCAGCTAAGATGATTGAGACTTCAGCCAAATCAAAACAATAATAAAATTTTTAGTAGCCAAATTAATTAATGATTCTTTTTTGGGTTTGAATATATATATTTTGAATGTTTGAATATATATCTTATATATATAATATAAATATGTATGTATATATATATTTGCATTTTGTGTATGAGTTTGCTTTTGATACATTATGATTATTTATTTATTATAGTATTTACGACAAATTTTGTGAGATTCCAAACAACATTTAAATATATAAAAAAATTCAAATGCGTCTTAAAAATTTTAGTTCAGTTAAATAACAACAATAACAGTACGGCATTGAATTAATATAGTTTATGTTAGAACCAAATATAAAATTTATGTTTATATAAGTCGAACAAAGTAAACAGAAGTATTTCCCCACAAAATTGTTTGCCAGCTTTTTGCACCCTGTGCTACCTCGTGACTTTTCTAGTCCCAAACTCATATCCGCTCGGTTGAGCAGGTTATGTCAGTCAACTGATATCATTATAACGAACAAAACAAAAAGTATCATGGTTATCCTAATCGATAGTTAGCAGGCTTGTATTGATTGAAATCGAGTATAATTTCAAACCGACGATAAATATTGCTCGCTTCCAGTAGATAGACCTAGGCAATCATCTGCGAGACACAAGATAACTGGCATTCATTTCATGATTTCAATCCAATCTGAGTGTAAAAAGACCAACATAATAATATACTTTTCTGCTAACTTCACGACTTCTCTGGGTTGAGCTCAGAAAATAGTATTTAATATAAACCTTCAATTACTCATCTAGCAAAGTAAGATAGTCTTTAAGGGCACTATTTCGAATCTCCAATCTATTCAAGTTAGTCAAGGTGACGTTTAATAAAGGACCACACTGTCAGAATATAACATTTGAAATATTAACCTCTACTAAAAAGTGTGGAACATCTGTATAATATTTAGGAACGTCAAAAATCTAATATTGACTGATCTGTAAAACAAGTTATGGTAACTTTGAGAGAGAGAATTGCTGTCGAATATGCTTTCCTCTATGACCTTTAATTCTACTAAATCTAGTCTAATTTAACACAGGCACACCAAATGTAAACATAGAATAATATCGTTGACGGGACTCCATAGTTTGAGACCTTGCATAATAATACCTCAGCGAACATATTTAGGGAATATTCATGATCTACGAGAACAAAATTTGATTATAACTACAACTTTCGTGAGACATAAGGCTTTCAAATGGATCAATTATAGTAAGAATCAAGTGGACGTAGGCATAATTATTATAGAAAATATACAAAATATCTAAAATATTTCTTGCTTTCTTCTTATATTTTAGTAACCAAAGTGACTTCCGATGGCGAACCACACGAAATGATGACAATGTCGCTGGACTCTCTGGTCTTTTTGCTGCCATGGTCATACTAGCTGTGCTAGTATCTCTGGTCAGCTGCAAGAGCAGCAAGAAGTAAGTTATAGCAAAAGTTAAACCCCGATACTAAAATTAATTGATCGATTTTTCATCCCTTTCTCTTTTGAGAGTACGACATTGCAAAATTTCCGCGCACCGCAAATGAAAAAGCTGGTAACACCGCACGTACATTAGATGATAATAGTACACGTTCGTCCATATCGACCACTTATATCGTGCCACAAGCGTCGAAGATCGGCAACACTGTGCACCAACACCCATATACAATCCGGCTGTTCGATGATTTTCTTCTGTAATCTATCGGGCAATCTAAATGCGGCATTTATGGGCAGTGAGTTGAATTGACGAACACGCTGGGCAAGCCAAAGAAGAAGACTGCACTGGAGGATGAGGTGAATGCGCAAGTGAATGTGAAGGAGACCGCTGTGGATATCGAGCGTTTTTGAAGTTCAAGAAAGGAGAATTGCTTGAAAAAATGTTGGAGCAAATAAATTTCGTAAAATAAATCTGAATTTATACGCATGCGCGATTGAGCTTGTAAGTTTTTGATGTCCAGAGCGCGCTGGTGAAAATGTGAAGACTGATTTGGAGAGGTTTCTCTCGCAAAGCTTACTTCGTTCGTTTTTGTTATTGTTTTAGTTTTATAGCAATCAATATATAGAAATTTAAGCACAAAAATTAACAAAAATTTTACTAAACAATTTAAGATTAAGCACATGATTACCTGATAACTAAATATGGTTGGAGAATATCTACGAGAATCACCGTTAATCTCTGAAATGCATTTTAGCTATGAAAATATCATAAATTTTGTATAACAACTATTTTATCAAAACACGATCATATTTTTTCTTTGTTTTTTATTCCAACAAATTATAGTTGTATTACAAAATATTTTTCTTAGTTTATAAAAGATTACACAAATTATAAAAAAAATATGTAAAATCACACACTTAACTATACAGAAAATGTCTTTTATTTCGCATTGTGGGGCGGGGTAGACAAATATGGCTGTGGGCATTTAACTTCTCGAACCCACGACCATCGCCAGCAATGCCATGCGCACATACATACCATACTCGGCTTGACGGAAGTAGGCAGCACGCGGATCCGAGTCGAACTCTTTGCTGATTTCGAATACGCGTGGCAGCGGGTGCATAACAATCGTGCGACGACTCGCCAGAGTCATCAGCTTAGGAGTCACAACAAAGTGACCACATGCCTGGAAGTAGCGAAAATAATTAAAAATTACGTATGCTAAAGTAGGGTTAAAGAAATAGTCTTAAGTACTATTTTGCTTATTTTCCAAGGGGGAAACTCGGAACTGCCACCCTAACAATTTTTTATGCAACCACAACAACATGACCTCAGAAGCAAAGCGAATACCTTTAAATATTCAACGTTCTCGAACTCTCTCTCTCTCATTGCACGAACGAAATAATTTCAAATATTTAATTATTCGATCTCAAAAGATACACTCTAATAGAGATCGGCACTTTCTTTGTTTTTGGTCGATTATCTTCACTTAGAAGACAATATTCAACATTCGAGGCTTTCTCAGTTTATAAGACGTTTGAGCATTGATGACTTGGAATCAAAGTTCGGATACGGGGTACAGCAAAGTCTTCTAAATTGCTATTTGCAAGAAACTTGCCTCTTCTAATAAAACCTTAGTGCAATATATCTGATTATGATCTGGGATAAACTATATCAGCTTCGATATTTCCATTAAGCTAGATTCGCCATATTTCCATTAAGCTAGAAATAGACTCGCAATGAAGACGAGTTCCTACTATCTTCCTCTATTTCTCCTCAAATTTACATATTTTTCTACCTTCTTATATTCCTCCTCGGTGGCGAAACGCTCCTTTTGTATGCGTGTCATATATAGTACATCTGTGGTCGGCAAAGCTTCTTCCATGGAATTAAAATTCTTCTGTAGGACACCTTTTGTAGCTAAGTAGCGTACGATTTCCTCTGGCATGCCAAGATTCGGTGGACTCACATACTGCAAAGTAATGTTGTACAGAGTAAGGAGGCGTGCCAATGAGTGCACTGTGCGGCCATGTTTTAGATCGCCAACCATTGTAATGGTGAGACCATTAACGGTACCAATTTCTTCACGAATGGTAAATATGTCGAGCAGCGCTTGCGTTGGATGCTCGCCCACGCCATCACCCGCATTGAGGATCGGTTTACGCGAGTGATTAGCGGCGCGCTGTATGCAAGAAAAAAACAATTATTGTTTAAAGAAAAATTTTTGAGAAAATAGCTTTTAACTTACTGCAACTGCACCCGGTTCCGGATGGCGCAACACAATCACATCAGAGTAGCCGGCCATGACAGAGATGCTGTCTTCCAAAGTTTCACCTTTTTTCACCGATGAACTTGTCTGATCCATGTAGATAACGCGTCCACCCAAACGTTGCATGGCAGCAGCGAAGGAACAACTGGTTCGGGTGCTAACCTCATAGAAAATGGATGCCATAATCTTGCCACGTAAAATGTCATCCAGAGGACGATCTTTAGAGACACGACTCTTCAGTATTTGTGCCAAATTGAAGATTTCATTCAAATGCTCCTTGCTAAACATGTCAACGGAGAGTATGTGTTTATTGAGTAGGCTGTGTGCCACAGGACTGATTGGCGGCGCATTGGGATGGGTTTTAGGCAGCAGCTCACGCAGCGTCGAATTGCTAGCTGAGTCACAGCGTATGCGTGGCAATGGAGAGATAGGACGCAATAAACTGGGGTCACCTGCGAAATGCACCTTCGATGGTGGTTCGGCCAATAGCTTGGTGAACGCTTCGTTGGCCTGTGAATCGGATAGGAAGTCGGTACTACGGTCTTGCGGCTTGTCGAGACCATCAGTGGAGGCGTAAATATCCAGTGATTCTATGGATTGTAGCATCAGCGACTTGCGTACATATTGGCCGCGTATATTCTGTCCGAAACCGGGTTGCACGAGTACCTCACCATCAACGAAGGCGACTTCGCCACGCAAGACAACCCGATGCACTTTACCCTTCACTTTCATGCCCTCGAACGGTGTCCATTTCGCCTTCGAATGCATTTCCTCTCTATTTATCGTCCATTCCTCATCCAAGTCCACCTCGATGTAGGTGTTGGGTTGTTCGGGTAGACTGAAAATGCGTTTCGGATTGCGATAGAATTTATTCTGTATGTCTTCTAATGTTAGGCGACCATCGTCAACAGCTTTGAGCAACAGCGGTAGTATGGTTTCCAAACCAGGGAAACCCGGTGGCGGCTTCTCAGAGTTCTTCTCCTCCCATGTATGTGGCGCATGATCTGTGGCAAATACATCGATATAGTTCATATTGTCCCACAGCGCTTGCTGATCCTCTGGTGTACATAAAACGGGACGCACCTCTGCACGCCCATCGCCTATAGCCGGTATGTCATCGGTGGAGAGGAACAAGTGATGTGGACAAACCTCACAGGTCACGCGTATGCCTTTCTCCTTTGCAGCGCGTATTAGCATAATCTCCTCCTTGCGCGCAATGTGGCAAATATGTACAGGACGATCCAGCAAATGCGCCATTAGTATAACCGAGCCCATGGTTTGACGCTCGGCATGGCACACGATTGGCGCACGTTTCGGCCAGTTTTGCATGTGCTTCTCCCACACTGTCATGTCGGTCATTTTAAGCGTGCTAAACGTATCATTCAGATACATCTTCAAACCGCAAGCTTGTGAGGCCAATTCGCCAATGTGCTGCCAGTTTGTGTCGGAAGCGCCAACGTAGAGCGCGTAGTCACAGCGTGCGCCGGCCTTGGCCAAGTCCTGGAAGAGCTGGAAGCTATTACGATCCACAATGGAAGGATTTGTATTGGGCATAGCGCAAATCAGTGTCACACCACCAGCCAAAGCAGCTGCGGTTCCGGTGGCAAAGTCTTCTTTGTGTGTGGCACCAGGTTCACGTAAATGGACATGCACATCAATGAAACCGGGCAGTTTAACAATGCGACGTGAAGTCATGCAGTCGGTATGAGTCTTCATGGCCGGGCGACGTCCTGTGATGCGCATGGACTCGACTAAAAGTTTGGTGCACTTGACGTCGGTCACCAGTGGAATGGAGTAGTCGACAGCGAGACGACGTGTGCGATAGCCGTGTGTCATGAAGGAAGATACTCTGAAAGAAATAATAGAGGAAGCATTTAAAGATTTTAAAATTCAAAAATCAGTGAAAATGACACCATAAAACGTATTTCCCATCAACATAAGTCAGAGAGTGATGTTGATGACGTAATAAGGTATTTAAGATGCGAGTTTCGGTTCGACCAGTATTAATCATCTTTCCTTAGCCCAATCAAAAATTGCCTTTCAAAATTTTGTGAAGTAGATGTTCAGCTGGGAGTCTTTAGAACCCTTTAATTACTTTTTATACTCTGAACCTTAGACGACTAATCTAATATTTGAACATGAAGAAGCTGCCTTACATCAAAGAATCGACTCAGATAATTTTATAGTTCTCTCTTAAATTATATTTTCTATCTTTTCTGCTCTTCGATTTCTTTTCTGTCGGTTATGCCATTTCCATATTTAAGTCGGCGGGGCATGGCGGGATAATTCTACGTACTTACTGAACAATTAATTACGCATGAGTTGTATCTCACCTCCTTGCACCTCCTCCTCGCATTGGCAAATTGATGACCATATCAAATTGTTTATTTGCCAAGAATTCAGCCAAGTGACGTAGCTCGCCATTGGGATCTTCCGGTGATTGCTTATCGAAAGTCCATTGTACGGATTCCACCTGTTGAAGATAAGAACCATTTTAATGATGATATAGAATTTATTATACATATTCTAAATTTATGGTATACCACATATATAAATGCTATACAAGTATGTGTTTATAAATATCAGTCAAATGTTGCGTCAAAATATGTACGACAAGAAGCTAGATTACGATTTATAAATAGCCTAAGACCTCGTAGTGAGGTGAAAGTGACCCCACTAAGTTGAAGCGACTTTAACTTAAAAAGCATTAGTACGCCTATTTTTTACTAAATTGTTTTACCAAGTTGTCTAGTACTCGGCGCATAAGCTTACTGATGCCAATTGGGCTCATCACATAAAGAAAAGTTTTTCTAATTTGATTTCTTGATATAACTTTGTGCACGAAATGCTTAAAGTAACCGAATAAAAAATGTATATTGTAACGCATTCTTTGAGGTATGGTATTTGTTTTCGACATATTAAGAAGGTTAATAAATCAGCAACCTTTTGGGGTTCTTCATCTTCTCCTTGAGAAAAAATCTTTCCTTATACTAAATATAGCCAAACCCTAAACTTTAAGGGGCTAGATTAAACGTAATTTCAAGAAACCGAGTACTTCTTTCAAGGAAAAAGAGTGAGTATTGGTCATTTTGCTCTCAACGCTGAGAAAAGTGAAACCAAGAGCTCAAATTTTTTACCATGCCTTCAACTTTACCTTAGAGCTCCAATACAAAATTATTACTCAAATGTAGCAAATATTTGTCTTGGATCAAACGGTATACAAAAAGCACATATCTTATAATACGAGCTAGAAATTATAACGGCTGAGAACTCTACTCTATTCTTTTCTTTTTCATAAGGAATAAAAAAAAACGTTAAAATCGGCTGCATCGAAGCTTTATTACTCTTCACAGGTGCATTTCTTAAAGCAACTTAATCTGAAAATTTAGCCGGACAACGGCTATGCGTTGTAGTGGTCCGATATCAGAGGCCCCGACAAATGAGCAGCTTTTTGGTGCGAAAAGGACGTGTGCAATATTGCAGATCGATATATCTAAAACTGAGGGACTAGTTCGTGTATTTACAGATAGAATGACATAATCAAATTGACTAAATTTATAGGTTCTTCAACGTTTCATAGGTGTTACAAGCCTCGCGTCAAACTTATTGTAACTTAATGTAATGGAAACATTTTTTGTTGCTATTTCATACACTGTCCTTGATGCTTGATACTACATAGCATTGACCTAAACTGAAGATCAACACCAATATATCTTCTTATTTGTACAGATTACTTATGATATTTACGCAGAAGTTAAACCTTGAGAATATTGTATATGCCTATGCTTACATATATATATCCTTGATATATATATTACATTTATGTACAAACAGCAACAATAACAACAAATTTGTATAAATGGTTAGTTGAAAACTTTCTCGTTCGAAATGGAAAAATACTGCGTTTAGTACGAAAATATTTTTTTATTCCATATAATCTCCCTTAACTTCAATACACTTATTCCAATGATCCTCCAACAATTTTATGCCATTTCTATAAAGCCCTTCCGGGAGCTCTACAAAATACCCGTCGACAGCTGTAATAGCTTTTCCATTCGACGAAAAACGCTTTCCACGAAGGAACTGTTTCAGGTACTTGTGTGCTATTTCTTGGTGAGATCAACCAACTTTTCAACTAACCTGTATATAAAGTTAAATATATACTTGCATTCACAACTCATTACTCAAAGGGAGGAAAAAATCACAGAGGTACCATGCAGAAAAATAAAGGAAAAAAAGTTAAACAATTGAAAGTCAAGTGAAATGACAACAGAAATTATCAATTACATAGAAAATCAAATCAAATTATTACAAAAACAACACAGTAACACGCGCAAGTCGATATGAAGTTAACTGTGTTTACATATATGTGTGGCTAGCCAATGCATTGCAATTTATGTGGCAGAAGAAGGTAGCAAGTCGGCATTCGAGCATCTATTTTAAACAAACAACAAAAATAATAATACAAATAAATAAAACTCGATCAAAGATTGTAAAAAGCGATAACTCGCCGGTCGATCTGCAATCATTGCGAATTTCTGCGAACAGTAAAAGAACAAGCGGCGATGGCTACAAACGGGCGCGTGAATAAAAAAATATAAAAGTGCATATAGGAAAAATTAGAAAAATCCGTTGAATGTGTGAAGGTTCAAAAATAAAACTTAATTATAGTTTAAAAAAAAATCCGCAAAAGAATAGTAAAAAATTGTGAAATGGGTCGGTCCAGTTCCAAACTGCTGGAAATACCCAACAATCCTCTGGAGGAGTTGCAATTAGAGGAGCGTAAGCGTGAGCAACGCAAACGCAAACAAGAAAAGCAACTAAAAAAAATCGCCAAATTACAAAAGAAACAAGCGAAGAAGACAAAGCGCAAAAGCAAACAGAGCAAGGACGCCGAAAAGCAGACTTCAATTACGACGAAACACGCAAGTGGCGTTACGAAGCGCACGAATAGTCTGAATTCGCAGAGTACTAGCTATGAAATCAATAAAGAGGAGCTCAATCGACAAATCGAGCAACAAATACAAAATCATTTGGATAGTGATCTCTGCACGTTCATCATGAATCAGGTGGCGTTGACGTTGCAGTTTTTCGGGAACTACGAGAAGTACGTAGTTAGAGAGTATTGAATATAAAATGGAAGCATATAAACAAAGTGCTTATACAATTCTTGCAGGACTTCGAAATTTCACTTAAAAAATTCGTAAACATTTTTAAAGAAAAGAAATACATTTTATAATCTCCAAACAGTCAACGTTTGTTTCGCAGAATTTTACCAGTTTTGATTTGTCAGTTTTTCAAGTCGTCTCAGATTGTTTAAGGAAAATTTCACAGTTTCGAAACAGTAAATTATTTCATTATTTCAAAGAGTTAAACGTTTTCGATATTCGAAAACTTTTATCCATTAACAGTTTTTCATTTTCAATGTTTTCGAAGTCGTCTATGTGCGTTTTCAAATAATTACGCAGTTTCAAAATTCAAAAATTAATCAATCAGCAAGTTGTACATTTCGTGTTTTCGAAAAGAAGTTTTCGATATTCAAATTATCTTTTAAACAATTTTTAATGTAGTTCGAAAAGTTTGAATTTTTATAAGCGTTTCAGATTTTCTTTATATCAAATTCATTATTAAAAGTTGTTTGATACCCTCTTTTTCAGGGTCAATTATAGACAAAATTTCAGATTCGAAGTTCTGCGAAGTTAATTGATAAGGCCCAGGTTTCGTTCCATTTATATTATGATAAAATATGCTACCAGAACTCGTTACTTCGTCAATTTCTCGTCACTTGACTTTATGATTAACTCACCATTTCAATGAGACAATTTTGTGCACTAAGTCTGATTACCGACTACTAACAGAGAAAATAATAGTGTGAAGAAATCTCCTAATAGCACAATTAAATGTTTTTAGCTGAATTCTTCTACCACAGGCCAAGTGGTTTCATTCAAGCGCAAACCAATTGTCGTTAGAAACTTCATATAGGAAATAGCCATTAAAACCGGAAGCTCTTTGAAAATATTGCAATTTTATTGGCATTGATTTTAAGTGCTGAACGTCTTATCAATTCAAATTTTATCACTACTGTTAGGTATTGTTTGCAAGTGAATCTAGTTTCGCGTCATACCACTTTATTTTTTTTTTCAATTATTTATCTAATATTTAATTATGTTTCTTTGTTTGTTCCAGTGAATTGGCAAACATTTCTGAGGAATTGTTGCAAAGAGAAGATTTGAATCAATCTCGAGGAGCATTCCATACTCTTATCAACGCATTGGATGCTGCTGTCTCCAAGTGGATGCAATATAAGCCAGTGTGAGTATGAAATGAAATTGAGTAGGAACAACTTCTTATAATCTTTTATATATGACAACTTCATAGATGGTTCACCGATAACGAGATGATGTTATCTTAAGGGAATGATAAGAAAAAAATATCCCACATAATTAGTCTTAAATTCTTATGAGCTCCATATCTTGCTACAAACGCCCAGTTTAAGCTAGATTATTGCCAGCCTCGTAATACTAAATACTTCAGAAAGCTAACCTTTAAAGTACAACTATTACCCCTTCTTTAAAATCTACTTACGGGCTCCACGTTTTCAATATAGTATGATTTTTCTTAAACGATCTTTCTAAATAAAATTTCTAATAAATACTTTCGATAGCTAAAGGTTTTGTAGGTATAAAAATTACAGTCACATATTAAAAAGTTAAATGCTATGGTGATGAAAATAACTTTGAAAAAGTTAACTAATCTTGTGGGATCATTTGAATCGAAATTCATGTCTGTGGATAAAAATATTGACATTACGTTTTGTTAACTTATCTTCATATTCATTTGTAATCAATATCCACTTGCTCCACAGCCACGGTCCAGAAAACACAATTCTCAACCGCTCCAGCCGCTGGCAATGTATGTGATATTCGAAAATATCGATATAGCGCGACCGAACGATGCGAATTACGATTCAATTTCACCACTTTGCAAAGTTGATTTAGACACAGATTTTATAATACAACGCCTGTAACGAGGACTACGTAGAAATGCTACGTGAGACGAAATGGAAAGGCTATGTACGGCTGAAATTACGCGAAGAACCAAAAACCCAACGCATTGGGGCTACCGATGGCGATGTGTATACGGACGGCAGTTCGGGTTATAGCACGACGAGTGCCTACAGTCTAAAAGTACAAGCAATCACCAGAATCTGTTTATGACTACACCTACATAGCGCATTTGAATACAACATCATCCGTTGTCTGAGCTAAAGATGCAAAGTCCGTGGTAACTACAAATTGAATGCCAAAGTCTTGCCGGACTCATGTGTGTCCAATTTGAGACAGTTCGTTGAACCGTTAAATGCTGAAGACAGCGATGACGATGATGACGATGAAGAAGAAACTGAGTCAGAGTCCAATGATGAAGACAGCGCTGATGAAGGTTACAACGTCGTGCAAAGGAGAGTGTATGAGAAGACACGCTACCGAGATGTCGAGACATTGGAGGCCATACGTTTATATAAGTTGGAGCAGGAACGACGTCAGGTTCTGATGCAGCAATGTTATCTTAACTCCAAAGAATTTATGCGTTATTTTGGTGAGTTGGTACGTCAACAGCTTGCCGATCGCTTACAAATATTTCCCGAAGAATTGGACGAGGGCACATATCGCGGTTCATCGATCTACACAAAATACTTTGAACTCATACCCGCTATTTATGTGGCGCATAATGCACAACACTGGCCCGACTGTGCCTTTCAATTTCGCATACGTGAGCGACCCGTCTCTATTAATCCACTAACTGGACAGCAATTTCAATGGCCAACGCGTTCGATGATCAGGCGTATCGAAACATTTGGCTTTCATGTCATACCCATTGGTTATGCGCCCAAACGACAACGGAACCCATTTCGTGAGCTCGAATGGCGTATTGTTTTTCCGAAAGCCGAACGCTACTTGGAGCAACATTTGACGAGTACACAGGTCAAGGTATTCATGATGACCAAGGCTTTGGTGAAGACTTTTGTCGAACCACAAGAGAAACATAAGGCGCTCTCGTTTATAATGGAACATCTGCGTATGCATCTCTTCTGGGAATGCGAGCGTAATTACACTGGCTGGCCGGAGGAGTACCTGGGTGAGGTGCTATTGCGTTTCATCAGCACATTTATGCAGCGATTGCGCGAAAAGTGTTTGAAGGACTTCTTTATTGAAGAACGTAATCTCTTCGAGAGCATACCAGAATACTCTTTGGTCATGTTATTCTCAATACTAACAGATATTGTCGCAAATCCTTTGATGCATCTAATGGTGGCGCTTAAAAATTTACAATTTGAAGAGCATTTCTTTCCAAAATTGAATTTTAAGAAGATATTTGAAAATCTCTCCGAAAATAATATGTTGAAATTGAAAATACAAGCTAAAAATTCGCGGAGTCTAGTCGGTTTAGATGCGGCAGAGGATGAACCGATACTCTTACAAGATGAAGGTGCAAAGGGTTTGGTCGGCATGAAGCAACATCGCGAAAAGACTAACGGTAAATTAAGAAGGAAAACTCATGTGATGCGACACAATATTGAAATGAAGAAGAAGCAAGAATATGAACGGCGACGCTTGTCAGAGGAGTCCATAGACATTGAGGTAAGTTGCAATCACATTGAAGTGGAAATCTTTTGAAGTTATGACATTTCGCTCACACTGAATAATTTCGGACTTTGACTTAAACTGTTTTAACCGCTCTTCTGTTATGCTCCACATACGGAATTAATGATCTTTCCTGTTTTCACTTTTAATAGTTTTTCTTTCGACGCAATATAAAAAACTCCCATTTGAAGCACCTCAATCAGGGTGTTGAAAATTTACGACGCACAAATATACTCGAAATAATCATTGACCATCTAATAGCGATGACCGAAAAGGCAATGGAGTTTCGTGTTTTATATTTGGCTAAAACGTTTTTGATACACGCGAGGCGACTCTGCAAATTCTACCACAACTATGGTTGCGATATGAGTGCTAGAGAGTACCTCACCACCATCGGTAGTATAGAGGAGGAGATTTCTGGCTTACAGATGAACGAAGATTTTACAAATTTACCGCCAACTTTGCCGATACGCACAAGTACCAAAGAAGTCTTCGAGCATTTAGAGAGCGTGCGTCGTACCGTAAGAGTGGACATTGAAGTAACGCACTGTAAAAGAGAAAACTCTCCAGTAACTGTTAATAGAAAAAATAATAGAAAATCAGTAGAGCAAAGCGTTGAGCAGGCGCACTCGTATAATGAAAATCTCGAGTTAATAGATAGCCTTACACCCAATTTAGGTCGACGTAAGTCTATTAAGTTTACCGGAAATGTCGTTGAAGTACATGAAGGAGACACAAATCCGATACAAAAGCCTGAGGGTCAGAGCTTGGTTAGTATTTTGCGCTTCAATCCTGATGTAACGGAAATAAATGATGCAATTACAATTGCTGAAAGAGACAAACGGGACGTCTCTTATGAGAGCTATGAATCGTTTGATAACTATGGTTTCGATGATGATGTTGATGAGAACAGTCGTAATGATGCCTTTGTGAGTAGTAAAGAAATCAATAAATCACAAGCGGAAGGGGAAGGAGAAGGAGCAGAGACAACTGATAGCCCGTGCGCCTCTGCAGTAAAGATGCCCTCTGATGAAAGAATACTCGGCGGTTTTAGTAAAAGAGTCGGCATGCTGCGTAATCTAACTCGCGGCCATTCGCAAGTCATTAAAGATATTACAGCGTCAACGGAAAAGCTATTCATTTCGATGGCCTCGGAAGAAACGCGTTTACAGTTAAAAGAAGTGATAAAACGGAAAACATTTCAGCTGAAAGGTGCATTCAATCAGTGCTCGGAGTCTTGATAGTGATTTAAGTAATTTTTAATAGGCTATGTACATATACTACATATTATATATGGAATGAAGAAGACCAAGGTAGTATTATAAGTTTAAAAATAGACAAAAAATATATAAAAATACATAAACATTTTTCTCTCTAATCTCCATTTTCAACTATTAAGTGTGGGGGTAAATTGCACTAAATTTATTTATACGATCCTTGCGGATTTTAGGATAAGGTAATTATTATTAAGAAAGCATCTCGTTTCCATAAAAACATGGTTTATGTAACCGAGTCCGAAACCGGCCAATGACTGTGCACTCGGCAGCATAACTCAAAATTATTTTGGGAATACCTTGTGCCACTATAATAACAAGGACGGTCTGGGTTTCTTATCGATTATCGTTACGTTTATCTGCTAGAATAATCCGGTAGTCAAACGGATATAGTGTATTCTAAATACAATAATATAGCATAAACTTCAACCATTGAGACGGTCGTACTAACAAGGTAGACCAACCAGGTATCTATACAGTAATGTAAAACTACTCGCTGAAAGCGCTTGGAAGTTAATAATCCATATTATTTAGCATGAGTCCCTATGTCCTTTTCCCTTTAAAGGACTCCGAGCTACCAGTAATTATTTGTCAACCGAAATCTTTTTCCCGCTTTTATAGTTGTCCGAAAGCAAAGGGCATGGTAGCCATTCCCTCGTTAGTTTCGACTAAAAATATTGGCGAAAGTCGGTCCAGATTCTTAAGGCAAATGAAATGAAACTCGCAAAGTGTTTGTAAAGGTTTCGATTCGGCATTTTGTGACCACAATGTTTGCTTAGATCATAAATTATATAACACAAATTGTCAATCATTAGCTAAATACCACATAACATATAATATGTTCACTCTTATACATTTACTTCTAAAATATATAAAGCTAAATATTTTTTTAATTCGTTATACTCACATCAACGCCATGTTCCGCATAGAAGTCGCCAGTACCCATGGAAGCATATAATTTGTAGCCCATTTTCGCCAGGTCTCTGATCGAGGACAACAGCTCCATTTTGTGCTGAAAGTAAGTTAAATTTAAGGTATATTATACCTCTCCAATTTTCGTTTAAGTATACATTATCAAGACATACCTTAAAACTACCTATCGAGAGTAGAATGGCTTTCTTCGGTATCTGGAAACCGGTAGACATCATAGCCTTCAAGTAGGCCTCATAGCGATTGTCACCAAAGCAAGCCACTTCACCGGTGGAAGCCATTTCCACACCTAACTGTACGTCGGCACCGGCCAAACGTGAAAAACTGAATTGTGGCACTTTCACACCAACTTTGCCCACGCCATGCAACACCTCCACCGGTTCCATTTCTATGCCAATAATGGCACGTGTTGCTGTTGCCACAAAATCATGATCCAATGTCTTCGATACGAAGGGGAATGAACGTGAGACACGCACGTTACACTCAATAACTTTGAGCTCATTATTTTTGGCAATTAGTTGCATATTGAATGGACCCGTGACATCGAGCAGTGCAGCCAAATCGCGTGTAATACGCTTAATTGTGTCCAAAGTTTCCTGATTTAAATCTTGTGGTGGTGTTACCAAAGTGGCGTCGCCCGAATGCACTCCAGCATTCTCCACATGCTCCGAAACGGCCATGCACAAAATCTCACCGTCCGCCGCCACGGCGTCCACATCGATCTCCTTTGCTTCCGTCAAGAATTTAGATATAACTACTGGATGCTCTTTGCTCACGAGTGACGCAGCGTTTAAGTAGGTCTCCAGATCTTGATTGGAATACGCCACATTCATTGCGGCACCGGAGAGCACATAAGAGGGCCGTACGAGACATGGATAGCCGACTTCTTCACAAAATTCAATGGCGCTCTTCAAGTTCGTCAACTCCTTCCAACGAGGTTGCAATATGCCTTTGCGATCTAACATACGTGAGAACTTGAAGCGATTCTCAGCGCTATCGATGGACTCCGGTGATGTGCCGAGCACTTTGGCCTGTTGGCGATGTAGATCCATGGCAATGTTATTTGGCAATTGACCACCCATCGAAAGTATAATTCCATCAGAATTTTCTATTTCGTAAACATCCATTACAACTTCAAAAGAAATCTCCTCAAAGTAGAGACGATCGCACATGTCATAATCGGTTGATACAGTTTCCGGATTATAGTTTATCATAATTGTGGGTTTGCCGAGATTACGCAATTCACGCAAACAACCAACGGCACACCAATCAAATTCCACCGATGAGCCGATACGGTAGACGCCCGAGCCAACCACAATCGTAAAACTGCCTGGGAACTCTAAATCGTGTTCATTAGCATTATAAGTGAGGTATAGATAATTGGTAGCTGCAGGCCATTCTCCAGCCACGGTATCGATTTGCTTAACAAAAGGTTTAATGCCCAGCTCTTGACGCTGTTTACGTACCGCTAATTCCGTGCTCTTAATAGCCTCAGCGATTTGTTTATCAGAAAAGCCGATCTGCTTTGCTTGCATTATTTGTGCGCTCGATAGTGTATTACCGGTCTCTTCTAAAGTATTATGAAACTCTATAATGTGTTTCATCTTATTTAAGAACCATCTATCAATCTTGGTGAGCTGATGTAACTCCTCAACACCGTAATTAGCCTTTAGCGCCGCTGCAAGCACAAATGGACGCTTGTCTGTTGGCTCAGTTAGTTCCTCCTTACACAATGGATGCTGATCGGGATCAAAACCGTTTACGGCGCCATCTACCATGCGTAATGCTTTCTGGAAGGCCTCCTCAAAGTTGCGTCCAATAGCCATCACCTCGCCTACACTTTTCATTGAGCTACCAATATTCTTGCTAACGCGTATGAATTTAGCCAAATCCCATCTGGGTATCTTGACCACACAATAATCCAAACTAGGCTCAAAGCACGCCGTGGTAACACCAGTTACGGAATTCTTAATCGATGGTAGTGAAACTCCAAGTGCTAACTTCGCAGCAACATATGCCAACGGATAGCCCGTGGCCTTACTAGCCAAAGCGGAGCTGCGTGAAAGACGCGCATTCACCTCGATGATGTAGTATTCCTCAGAGTGTGGATTGAGCGCATACTGTATGTTGCACTCGCCGACCACACCGAAGTGACGTATCACCTTCAACGCAGTGCTGCGCAGCATGTTGTACTCTTTGTTGGAGAGTGTCTGCGATGGTGCTACCACAATACTCTCGCCAGTATGTATACCCAAAGGATCGAGATTTTCCATATTACAAACTGTTATGCAGTTATCGTAGGCGTCACGTACAACCTCGTACTCTACCTCTTTCCAACCTTTAAGCGATTTGTCAATAAT